GGTTTTCAAACATTTTGATCCCAAGAACTGCCAAATGGCAGCTGTAAATTTCCATGTAGACCCATTTATACTATGTGAGAAAGAGCATGATATAAAGCTAAGTTGTTTATAAAATAAAAAAACTGTACTGTTTTGAGCCAAATCAAATAAATAAACTGTTATTTGGAAAAGAAGCAATATGTGTATCTTTTTCCCACACTATTTACGTTAGAAACTTTCTTATATTTTATATAAAATTATAAATGAATATGTGGGTTGCTTGTTGTAGCTCACAGGAGAATAACACTGGGGGAAATGACAAGGGATGTACTGTCTGATTGGCTGCCTACACTTTGATTGATAAGACTGACTTCAAGTGAATGTTCTTTGAAAGCTTTGTAACTTTCAGAGTATCGTGTTTGTAAGGTACAGCACAGCTGTAAATGACAGACCAGTGCCCCCATATTATGCAATTTCCTGGATCCTATGTGAAATATGAGAATCCCAGCTCATAAGACTTTGTTTTGCAGAGTCATGTTGACTAATAACTGGAGACCAATATCTGAGTTTCTGCAAAGCATCGTAAGCCTAAAGACATTGTAGAAATCATATTATATAAACAAAAACTTTTATTTTGGATGCAATTAATCGTTGCCCAGCACATTAAAAAATAAAAGTTAGTATAAATGTATATTAATTATATTATTATAAATATATTTTTCACACTAAGTAAGCTGTTTATCACTTAACATTGACAGCCCAAAATCAATCAATTAGTCAATCAATCAATCAATCACAAATTTTAAACCTCTTGCCCTAAGGGACCCTGGGCACCCCTTCTTTAATTTGCATAAAAATACATTGCACACAAATATTGGATAAAATAGTAATTTTTTTTTTGTGAATTAGATTAAACATTTTTATTTATACTTGTCAGTATTTAAAGGAACACTCCACTATTTTTGAAAATAGGCTCATTTTCCAACTCCCCTAGAGTTAAACAGTTGAGTTTTACCATTTTCGAATCCATTCAGCCTATCTTCCGGGTCTGGCGTAGCACTTTTAGCTGTAGCTTAGCATAGATCATTGAATCTGATTAAACCGCTCAAAAATGACCAAAGAGTTTTCAATATTCATGATATAAAGCTAAGTTGTTTATAAAATAAAAAAACTGTACTGTTTTGAGCCAAATCAAATAAATAAACTGTTATTTGGAAAAGAAGCAATATGTGTATCTTTTTCCCACACTATTTACGTTAGAAACTTTCTTAGAAATATTTTATATAAAATTATAAATAGTGCTGGGCAACGATTAATCACATCCAAAATCTAATTTACTGTTTAACTCTAGGGGAGTTGGAAAATGAGCCTATTTTCCAAAATAGTGGAGTGTTTCTTTAATAAAAATATACAAATATTTATTGGGATATTTATTCACTCTGTGATTCTGATGCCTTAAAATGCGGTCTACTCATTAGATTTTAGAACTCAGCTATCGACTTTTGTCCAGTAGGCCAGTACTTTTTGTAATGGAAAATGATTGATTGGTTTTGATTCTAATTGCAAACAGTTGAGATATATACTAAATCGTTAACCAAATTGATGCGTTTAAATTGGCTCATTAAGCATCACAGATAATAATTTTGTGTACACCAAATTACATTTACAAAAGCTGAATAAAAAGGAGCAGTATGTAATCATACCAGTGCCACTACATGGACTGAATCTGAACTGAAACTTGCATTTGTACTTGGTTTCCCTTTGCACATTCTGCCAAGGGGGTGTTAAGAGAGACAGCATGTCGAGACTCGGAGAGTGATGATCTGGGTTTCTCAGTTCTGTCTCTCCTCTCAACTTCTGTTCCAGGGAACGGCGTGTGCAACTGCGGAAATTGTGACTGCTGGGATGGCTGGACAGGAAACGCCTGTGAAATCTGGGTTGGAGAGGAGTATTAACCCCTGGTAGACACTTAAAGACTGTTTCTGTTGTCAATCACGACAAGAAAAGGATGGCTGCACCAACAGCGAACAAGGGAAAATTGATTTTAGAGATCTATGCAATATAGCAGCATTCAAATTTTCTTAAAGCAATGTGGTTTAAATTCCATTATATGCACATAAAACAGCTGTGGGAGACGACATCTATAATCCTCTACAGTTTTTCATATAACTATATATATATATGAAAATTGTGTATAATAATGCTTACATAGACTATTGACTGGCACATAAGCACTAAAAGGAGAGGATCCATGCAAATGGCCAACAAACAAGTAAGAGCATTTTATTATTATTCAGGTTGCTGTTTTGCAGAGCTCTGCTTGTGTGCAAGGTTTTTATGACCCTATTTTATGTACGGTAAGTTCCATGTGACAAAAGTTGTAAACAGCCTGATGCCAATAAATTTACCATGCTCTGAGATGTCATGAGAATGAGAAAGCTCTTTTTTAAACATATCTCGAATTATTTCTTGTCAAAATATTACTGTTTTATGTTAATTAAATTGTTAAAAAATGTGCCCATGTTGAAGGTAAATTATATTGACCAAGGTAATTAGCATAAATAAAAACTAGGATAAGGATATATATATATATATATATCGCACAAATATCGCATCAAATTGGTTAGAGAGATTTCAGTACACCTTTATATAAATATTTTATTCAATATGTTGTATTTGTGTATACAACAAACACAAACTGTACAGTGCAGACAAACTCTTTGCATATATGTATGTAAAATTAGCAGAACATACCAACAGTCCATGATACACATAGCCTACGACATGCAGTTCATATATGCCACGCTCTTCCCATGCAACAGATGAAGTAACTGTCAAAACAAGGTTCAAAACCAATCAACAGACAATGGAGACCTTCCTTCACCACTGAAAATCAGAAATACAGAGAAAACACAGAAATGATCAATTGTTCAGCGATTGCTCCTCATTACAATTTAATGACGTCACACACGACCTGAATGGAACGAAACGAACACGGACGTTGGAAAGAGGAAAAAACAAACTAACGTACTAACAAATGCACACGTACTCACCAGTCACTTACAAAAATAAATTCAACCTTCGTAAAACCAGTTCACTGGTCTGCAGGGCAGCTGTAGCCCAGCATGTAGAGCTCATTGGAGTGAGTGATTTGTTTCGTGTGGAAGTGGGACACCAGCCTCGAACTGATTTCAAATATGAAGCTACTTTTCCTGTATAGTACTGCAATCTCATTCTAGCATTAAATTCGGCTTTGCACAGACAAATATTTAAGTCTAATGTGCTTGAACATCTCCTAATATGAAACTAGCTCAAAATTCCAATAAATGAAAATATAGGTCTTCAAATGAAGTGTAGAATATATTTGTATTTAGCAGCATAGCCTCTGTCTACTTCATAACATTCTAAACGGTGTTCATCATTCAAACTATGAAAACTGTTAAAGCAAGACAGGCTTCATGTCAACTCGGCTGATAGTAGTAGATGTAGTAGATGACGATTTCAAACGCAAAGTGCAATGGTCTCAATCCAGAGTATGAGAGAGCCTTATATAATCATGCCCATTCAGTGTAGCCCTATGCCTCAAACTAGCTTTAGACATTTCTAGCCGTCCCATACTTTGGTCCTTAAGAAAACGCATGCAGTTGATTAGTAATAGGTACCCCGGTCTACTAAATGAACAATCCAAGGACATCATTTGGAATCTCTTCAAGTTTGAATCGAGACGATTAAAAAGTCGAGACAATTGTTCTTCGTGATGAACCCTAGTCACAGTGAGGACAAAAACCGAAGAGGACCGCCATCCTCTGAGTTATTGAAATTGTTCGGCTGGATTCTCGTGTGTTCGGACTTTGGTAACAATCAACTTCTGTGTGTTTGTGGATCAAGTTGCTACTGAATCTGTGTGTTTGTTTGTTTTTGTGTGTGTGTGTGTGTGTGAGAGAGAGAGAGAGAGTGTGTGTGTCTGGGGCATGAGGCACCTTTAACCCAGCACAGACTGGGTACATGTTTTTGCATGCTGGGTTAGAGGTCATCACAGGCACATGATGAGCAGTACTGGACTCTGCATGCTGAGCTAGGAAAACCCCTCTCATTTCAGAATCCTAATATCTGGTATTTAAAAATCTATTACTTTTTTTGTAGATTTTTGTTTTATTTGTATACAGTGAAAACATTTTTATAGAAGCCATTTCTTGCACTGCGTTAGTGTTGCAAGAACAGAATGTAATACTAACCTTGACCATGCCTTTGCTGAACAAAATGGGTGTGCAGCCAATATTAATGGTGCCTACTTACATTGAGCCATTTAACCGCCCAGGCCTGAAGTAGACTGTATTTCTCTATGGCTGCCGCTCTCGTCACATTTAATGAGATAGCCAGAACTAGCCCACAGTTCAGAGGAGTCAGCATGTCAAAGAGAGGCCTTGACCAGAGGCCTACAAGGCCTATAGATATTCCTAGAGCCCACGCTCTAAATTAAGAGCAAAGAAAAGTGGAAATTCACCTAGTTACTGGGGTTGAAACCGATTTGCACCGTACTAGATAGTGATATGTACTCTATACACCTTCGCCAGCACATGCCAGCTCCTTGTGTTGGACTGCTGCGGGCGTGACTAATGCACTCGCTGGCATTTGCTGTCTAAGTATACTTGTGTCCCTTTCTAAACATTACAAGAATGAGAAGACATGAGCGCTGAACCTTGGATAATGAGTTGGATTCTGTTTAGTAGGCTCCATCCCCTTGAAAGATTGACGTCTCTTGACCATAAACATTGTGAAGGGACTTTCATCCATTGTTGTGTTTGAATGACTGCACACCAGAACGCATCGCACACTGCCCCGACAACAAATTTCATAAGTAACCGACAAAAGGGAAAGATTTGGAACTTTGAGCTTCAGAGACTGGGGGACACCTAGAAAGAAGGAGACACACTTGATTAAAAAAAACAAACAAGTTGTGGATTCCAGTCCATATATATATGTATATCTTTACAGTACTACCCCAGAGCGTAGCTGGTGTTACTGTGTATATAGAAAATAGATCTGAAATGTACGGTCTCTGCTGTTGCGACAGGGTTCAAGAAAAGGGTTATAACGGGTGACTGTTAGCAGGCAAAAGAACCGCCACGCAAGCGCCTGTGGTACACAATTTCATTCTTGTGGATTGTCTCGATTACAGAAAAAACATCGGCTTTATTGTATGTCAAAAGGCATTCCGTATCAGTTAGGGCATTCCATGGTGAAAGTTTAGCTGGTTTATCCAGTCGCATCCTCTTACGTGCACAGCTGACCACTCTTCCGGAGCCAGACCGTCGTCGAATTAGATCGGAACAGTCAGAGGAGTGAAAGGGGTGGAGGGAATGGGGAGGAGAGAGCAGAGGATGCCTGGATCTGATCCACAAACATGGAGAGTCTGACAAAAGGAGTACGGCTCTCCGGGGTTGAGCATGGCCGAGATGGGATCTGGCTATGTGGTGGGCTTGGTTTCCTTGCTGACAGGTTTGCCTCCGTTCATGATGGCCGGCTCTGTGCTTTTACTGGGAGGCACGGCAGGTTTGGGCACTGTCTCCCCCACGTCATGCAATGATGGCTCTCGGTACATAGCGACTGCAAAAGACATCAGAGAAGGCAAGAGTCAGCCAGGTAACCGCAGCCGCCCCATCTGTCTCTTATTGGAAATGATTTTTGGGGCTTGACTGAAATCTGCGTATAATTACGTCTAGAAAAGTTTCCCAACTCATTCTTATTTCCAAACCTGAAACTTGGCTAAAAAGACAACATTCATTAGGGAAACTCTGACAGGACATGTGCAAGTTTGTCAAAGTGCGGGCAAGCTGTCAGCAGGGCTGCATCCTTTCCTTAGTTGTGATGGGAAGATGGTCTGATCTCTCGGGATGCATTTGACAAGGTTCACTGCTTCACGTCAGTTCAGACTTACTGTATTCTTAGCAGTGCTGCTACATTACGGGTTGCTGGCTGGTGTTGCGGTATTAGCCGAGAAAATAATGAAGACACAACAGGATGAGCGACTGGTCTAAAATGTGGGCATCTGTACACGGCAATAAAGCATTGCATAGACAGAAACGGGCCACACATCATTGCAAATTACACTTCAAACCGTACATAAAGCATCAATCTCATGCTAGCCAGACACATTTTACAGTGTGGCCATAAAAGAGCTGTAAGGAATATTTGAAAGGACAGGTTGTCCATCATTATGGTACGAAGGTGGGTCTTGGATACGTGGTGCTGTGAAATAATGTTTATTGAGTTGTAAATCATTATGTATTCAGATAACGGGGATATAAGGCCAAATGTTTCTGTTCGAACCCTTGGTGAAGCACTCATTGTCAAGATAAAATGGTAATTTTACATCCTCATGATCATCATCATTTTCCCTAAATCTGAAATTTGTCAGTTCCTGTGACCCGTGCTTGTTCTGTACAGATGCTCTTCTAGCACGCATTTTAATATTTTAACTCTACAAACAAACAAAAGGAGGCATACCAAGGAATAATGCATTTTGATTTGTTAATTTCATAGTTGTAGCATAAAATCAGAAGACTTGTAATATAGCACACATTATATTGTATGATATTTTTATGTTGTTGTTTTTTTTTATTTACTCTAATGGAAAAGAGCAGTCTGGACATCCTGTTATGTTCCAAAATCATACAGCATTTGAACAATATGAGGATTTTTACCCAGGATTTTACCCAGAACACAGCCAACAACCCTGATTACTATTTGACACATTTCTAAGGTCAATGCTTTCAAAACAATTAGACTTGTTTATTTAAGCAAGACTGCATAATGAGTGCTGCATTATTTCCAGGTAACACATTTAACAAGGGAAATTATATGAAAACTATTCTGTTTTCCATTGATTGCATAACATTCTCCTAATATGTTTATATATATATTATATAATATATATATATTAGGGCTGGGTATCGATTCAGATGTCCCGATTCGATTCGATTCGATTTCGATTCGCAAGCTCTCGATTCGATTCTCGATTTTTTTATTACATTCAGTGAATATAGTTTTAATACAAATGCTATTGATATTTCTAAAAAATGAACAGTAAACATCAGTTTACAAATGGTGAATTAATAAAAAGAAATTAAGAACCACATGCCTGTATTTTAAACCTATTCTTTTTT